TTTCCGCAATTCACCGTATCGAAAGTTTAATTCAGCCCATGCAAACCCTGATAGCGCCTGATGGGTGGGCAACATCTTGCCAGTTGTGCGTGCGTGTACTGCGGGGTGGCCTACCTCGAGTCTCGCAGGCGCCCCGCGCCTCAGGCCGGCGCTGTGCCTCGGGGTGGGGGCTTCCGCCAGCTCCAGGTAGAGGTCTGCATCGGTCGGTCTACCAGTCCCGAGAGTGCACGAAAAGCAACATGAGCGAGTTCAGTCGAACCAGCGAAAGAATGCTTCTGGAAATGCATGGGCTCTCATGGGCGGCTACATAAGGCCGAGGAGCATTCTTTGGCTGGTCAGAGTGTAGGTGGAGCTCTGGCCGGCTCGAGCACCTGCCGCCGCTCGCGGACGCTCCAGGTAGGCCAACACGAAGCCCCGCCACCCCTGCCATTACCTTGCCACGCGCGGCGCCCACCTCAACGTTTGAGCTGTCGCCGTCCTGAAATCTTCTTGAAAAGTCAAGTGGTGCCCTCCCTGCGTGCCATGCACTGCAGGGCACAGGCAAGCATTTGGGTCCCACATTTCAATCATGAGCGCCACAGCAAGCCCCGGCTGCTACGAGCCAATCACAATGTGGTACAGGTGAATGAAAAGAGTTATTGACCATAGCCAAACAGCATTAATAACATGTTTAATTCTATCACATTGGCACATAACATCACAGATTTACTTCATAAGAGTTTGGTCTACAACAAACAAATTCTCCAGCTCTTATAACTTTAAACATAATATTTCTTATGGGAACAGCAACAAATTCTTGTGTTTCTATAGTTGGAATTACATGAGAGATAAGTGTATTTGTTGTGTCATGACAAAACACTCTTCTGTGTTCCACATCCAACTTCTTGACTATGGCAACTTTTAGATTCTCACTGTCTTCTAAGTAACATTTTACCATGCCAAAATCTTTACCACCTGATGTATTTAAAAAGCAGACTGTAAAATTATTCCTACGCTTCTGTCGAGTATAAATATAAGATGTGTAAACAGTTTTACCAAACACAGCTCTATAAAATACTCGAACTGGTTTTTTAAGGTTCAAATGTTCTAAGGACATAAAATCACACGCATTGAGTCTAAAACCTTGCACTAGATTGCGAAGTTGGGCATTGCTTTGATATAAGCTAGGGTTATTATTAAATCGTAATCTTAAAATTTGTATTCCACAAGCAAGTTTTACATTGTTAACTAGTTCCTGACCTTGATTTTTGGTCCCATGGATAAGTTGACGCAAAGAACCATTAAAACTTTCAAATTGAAACGCTGAGTTACTCCACAGTGGTCCAAACCTTTTCACAAGTAGGGCAAGATGACGGACATTGTGAAGGTAATATGTAGAGAACTCTGGTTTGTACAAATTATGAAAGTCAGCAACAAACATTTTTAGCATAATATCTGCCCTTTCTATGTCATTTTCTGGTATTTCTTCCTGTAAGAGCAAGTTGAGAGCGCACACAAACAACATCCAATGCTGAAAATAGACAGGTTTCATAAACTGGGAAAAAATTATGAGAGACAAATAAAGCACAAAAGTGCGTAGTTCATTGGCCTTCCATTGGGAATAACATTCAGTCGATCTTGGTATTCTAGTTACAAAGTCAGGAACTCTGACACTAAGCAGAAATGCATCAATTCTTTATTTAAATTGTTTTAGACTCCATGGCCCATCTGTTTCAAACCAAATACCAAAGAGATGTTTTATGAGACACAACAATAAATGCATATACTCTGGGAATACAACAGTGCCAGCATCACAGCCTGGTACCTCAGAAATCACAGTATAACCCTTCACTCCTTTGACGGGATCCACTTTGCCTTTCCTTTGCTTTTCCATGTCATTGGTTTTCTTAATCTGAGCTTTCATTCTTTCACCAGTTCTTAGGCAGGGCTCTTCCTCATACAGAAAAACTCTTTTCCTCTTTTGTTTTTCTTTGCCAAGGACAGCTGGTTCAGCTGGCAGCCTTTTTGTCTTCTCTTCACACATATTACAGCCATGCTTTCCTCCTACTCCTAATATGTTCTGGATCTGAGCACGCACTGGGGCATCAACAATGAAACCAGGAGCTTCTACACGAGTGACACATCCCAATTTGGTATTTGGGTGAGTCCACTGCACGCCATGCTCCCTTATTGTAACAAGTTCTGCCACAAATGGCTTCAGGAAAGTGTTCATGTATGGCTTACAGGAATCAACCCATATTCCACTAACTATGACAAACTTATACCGATTATGAGGAGACACAATAACAATCACAAATTCTGTAGGCCACAGGGAACAGCTTGAACTTTTGCTAATAGATACACCATCAGTATGACCAATTAAAACTAAATCATACTGTCCCCCAATCCTGCACTTTGAAACCTCACTTCCATCAAGAAGGTCTGAGGAAACAGTAGGATTGTAGTTTATTTGTCTAGCTGCTGAATATTTATCAATTTCCTCCGCCAATCCATGATTTTCAAAAAAATTTTTGATTTGAGCAGCAATTGAGAGCTGATAAAATTTGTGAGGGACTCTACCGCACAAAGAGCAGTTTCCCTCTAGCTTTCCTATGTAGTACAGACAAAATGAACAATAATAGTGCACTTCTTCTGATGGCAAAGGACACAAACACTCAACATACTTTAAAAGAGAAGTTATGGTCTTTGGCATATTGTTTGGTCGCGGTAAGAATGTCAGCACACTTTTCAAAACAGCGTCCAAAGTTACTTTCTCTAATTTCTTACTAATGAAAAGGTTCATTAATGACAACACACCCTCATCAACAGACAGTGAGCAGCCATTAAACACTTTAATCTGGCCAACAAGACTTCCATCACCATCATCATCACTGCTGGCATACTGTTCACTTTCTGTTCCACTGTCACATTCTTCTGAAGTAGTTGACCCGCTTTCCTCCTCACTGCTACTCGAACTACTTTCTTCTGAACTGCTGCTTGTTAGAATTGTGTTGGCAGTGTTGACAACTTCTGCTGACTCAACCGTGCCACGTTCTGTAGCAGTGTCTCCCAGCAACTGATTATCAGTTAGATCCTAAAAAAATTGAATTAGATTACTCTTCCAAGGAAAAAAAAAATGGACAACGGAATTATTTTCTGGGTACCAATAGGCAGAGTAACATACTTCAAGTAATTGTTCAGTCTCAGTGCATCCCGATGCTGAGTTTTCATTCATCAAATTTTGAGTTGATGCCAATTCATGTCCGGATTTATCCTAAAACAAATTAAGTTGTCACACAAGTGCCTAAACAAAATGAAAATTCAAAAAAAAAATAGAATTTGACAAAGAAGCAAACCTCAGAGTTTTCTGTTGAGTTATTATTAACTGCATTCAGCAATGTTCCAGACTCCTGTGATACAATGGCCAAGGGATCCTGATTAAAAAAATAATAGAATAAATTGCTCGCAAGCATTTTGATACCACAAACACCGAACAAGATTGAGCACTTACCATCAGAACAGTTGAACGCTTGACAGATCGATAATTCTCAGATGACCTTTCCATTTCGCTTTGCTCCTCTGTGACATTATGTGAAGTAGAGTCTTGCTGATCATCACTGTCATTTTCACTCCAAGTAGATTTTGGCCAGTATTCAGATGATGGGGGCACCTATGTAATCGACAGATTGATCTAAGTACACTCTCGATGCTCCAATCAAAACCAGAACAAGATAAATCTGGAACTCACATTAGACGGCTCCTTAAACTCATAACATTTCCTTTTTGATGGAGAAAATGGAACCTCTTCATCACTTGACCAGTTACGTAGTGGGGATGAAGGCAACTCTCTAATAGGCGAGGAAGCCGGTTGGTAAGGAGATGAACAATCATTTTCCACGGACGGAGCCACTGGCGAAGGTACTTCATTATCATTATCAGATTGAGCAGTATTTTCGTCCATATCCCAGCTAGCTCAACAAAAGAAAATTGCACATCTTTAAGCAAAGCTAAAGGTTATGTTGATGGCCAAAAGATCCATGTTTACACACAGGGAGGACATTTACTTACTTGTTCTGTAATTATTATCTCCTTATTCAATTAGAAATGCTGTTCAAGAATTTCGAACGAAAAATTACACTTCCCTTATATCAAAAGAATAGTGTTTCAGTATGGTTTCAGAGTGCAATTCAAGCCTCCGTGATTTAAGCTGCAGCAGAAGCAAAAACACTCTATTGTTTTTGCTGCTGTGAATAAATATTTTCCTCTACTATCGCCATGACAGTTACGTTACGAGACATCGAACATCGAAGTATCTTAAGAATTCAAAATATACCTTCAGACTTATTAACACATCAAAAACAATCTTTTTAATTTGTAATTAACATGTGGAATAATTTGAATTTTTTAAAATTGAAATTATGAGTGGTTTAATTTCATTTGAGAATTTGAGTTTATCATCTACTGTCGTCCCGTTTATCTTCTTCTTCCCACTTCCCCTTCCACTCTTCCACTCTTCTTCACCTACACTTCCGCCTCCGCCATCAACCTCATTGTTGGACTGACTGGCTGAGCACGAAGGTTGCGTCATCGTCGAATGGGCAGGTAAGCGAGAGGCCGGTGTGAGTGAGAAGTTATTTGTATCCAGCTGCGTCTATGGCATCTTGTAATTTTTCTGTTATACTTGAACTTGTATGAACGCTAGAGATGGAACAGTATTACCTCTGTGAGTCCGCGGATCACTGGTACTGTGTTCCGATGTGTAATCCTTTGACGAATATGCCGGACAGCGTGGTCATTGGGAGTGCCCTGAAGTTTAAGTACAGCCGCAACTTAAACTTCGATGGTGTAGTCAAGTTCATTTCTAGTAAGTTCGTTTTTATTTGGATCAAACGTGTGCTCCGGATGATAACCTCTTGCTATTATACATGTGGCGACCGGAATAGGTTATACTTCACCATTCCTAACTATTAAACCTTTGGATGGACTAAATTTCGGGGTTCTCTTTTCTTCATTATTTAACTTTAGTACGGTTTTAACGGTTTCTATGGGGAATTGGTGAGGTTAGGCCGGTCGACTAGCTGTCGGTAGTGTTTCCAATCGGGCGGGCAAGTCAGGCGAGCGCCTTGCCCGGCACATCTGTCTCCCATGTGCACTCAGATGTGTGAGAGACAGACTGACCCGTGGCTCGCATGCCCGATTAGGATCATTAGTTGTCGGTTGGATGCAGCGTTTGGTCGGGATTTGTTTCCCCCTTGTCTCTGGATGTCACTTAATTACCATTGATTTGCAATTGATTGTGGCTGGTGCTTATCACATGTATTGTTGGCACAGGTTCTGAAGACGAAGTAAGCAAGGAAATCAATCGGCTGAAGGGTCTCAAGAAGGTGAAGAAGGAAGGGAGTTTTCACTCAGATCGTCCCAGGAAGGCTGCGTTAAGGCAGCGAGATTTTATGATAGACATGACTCGCTCCAGCAAGAGTAAGAAGTCGGAGAGAAAGGTAGGGTGTCCTTGCTGGAAATAATCTGTTATCATACAATTGTTGTTTTGTCAATAAGTCTGTTGGTTTTAGGATCGTGATAAGTCTGACAAGAAAGTCAAGGAAAGGTTGCGTAAATCTGCTGCTAAAGTTACAGAGGAAGAACTCACAAGCAAGTCTGGACGTACTGAGGTCAGTTCACGCGCCTATTTGGACCTATTTTAAATCTTTGACTGTTTTGTTATAGTTTGTTCTGTTTGTGTGCAGCTTGATGAGAAGCCAATCGAGCAACCTAGCGTTGTTCCTGATGCTCCTGTTAGTAGTATCAAATCTGAACCTAATGACGATACTGATGATCTTAAGCTGGATTCAAAACCTGTGACCAATGACTCTGATTCATCCTATGATGACTCCAAGATTTCAACAGTAAGTTGTTACTTTTAGTCCGTTATTTTATGAGAGGTTTTAAACTTTTATAACATTTTAATTAATTCTTGTTTTAATTTGTTATGTCCTCAGGCCCCACTTAATGTAAGCAAGCTTGAGGACTTGAACAATGGCAAGGAGGAAGCTTCGAACTCAGCTTCCGTGAACCCTTCAATCTCTTCCGAAAATGGGGAGACCATCCCCAACGCACAGCCTAATCAAGGGTCACCTGCACTGAAGTCGCCTCCCCATGATCCTGAGTCTGATTCTAAGATTGTCACTGAGAAGCGGAAGAGTCGCAGATCTAGGAAGAAGTCTAAGAAGAGCAGATCTCGTCGGTATGTCAGTTCTGATTCTGGATCGGACTCTTCCAGCGTTAAGGTGAAAAGCCACCGCAAGAAGAAATCTAAGAGGGCATCAAGCAGTGACTCTTCGACTTCTAGCAGTAGTAGCTCGAGCAGCCAAAGCAGCTCTAGTACTTCCTCTGATAGTTCTGAAGCATCAAAGAAGAGAAAGAGGAGGAAGAGGGCCAAGAAAAGCAAGAAAACTATTGTCAAGAGGAACCTTAAAATTTACCAGCCAACTAATTATCTCTGCAATTCTTCAACCCCTGGTGTAAGTTTCGCCTCAATCTGTTTTGATATCATTTTTTTTGTTCTAGTTCTAAATATGTCATTGTTTGCAGGCGGTTAAACTTCAAGACCCATATGAAGTTTATATTTTGCAGTCTGACTTGACTGAAGCCATCAACAACTCCTCTTCTGTCACTCAATTTATTAGGCAATTGACTCCTAAGGTGTATACCCAAGATGCACTGACAAATGCAACACCCCAGGGCTACCCAGACAGGTCGAAGGGACGGAAGTATTGTGGGGAAGTCCTTCCTCGATTGCACCGTGATGGGCGCTCAGCCATTCTAGGTGAGACAATTTCATTCATTTGACAATGCTCTGACCCTTCAGTAGGGTCAGACAATTGAAACAAAAGTTACAAGTTTTGTTAAAGGTTAATTATCGTGCCAGTTCCAACCTTGACCTATTTTTTCTCCTTATTCCAGCACGTGCCAGAGCACTGGAAAATGAGAAGAAGAGTTGGCGCCCACGTGCTGGCGAGTCAACTCTCAAGAATGCCTTCTCTAACATTGTTCATAAATTCAAGGACGATGGTTTGTAAAGTGCTGACTTCTTTTTAATAATGTTCATGTATGTATCTTCTAACTATTTACTTTACTTTAAAGTTTGGAGGATACTGTACATTGCCTATGACGTGGACTCGGACAAGGAATACTAGCTCGTCATTCACTTTATTGTAGCACCTTTACTTTTCATGTTCCTTTAAGGTGCAAGTTTGTTTATTTTTCCTTTATTTTTGTTCATTTAATTACTTACTCCTTCAAATGCATTTTCCACTAGCTAAATGCATCTTGATAGGTTTTTATTTCTTTTTGTTTTGATATTATGTTTTGATAAGTTCTCAATCATTTTATTTTTGTGATGCCATTGTAGTTTTATAATACTTTCCACTTAAAGGTTTTACTTGTCACTAGTTTTAGATTTCACTCGTCACTAGTTTTATGGTTCTTTGATCTCGAATTCATGCGTGGCATTGATTCCATTTAGTAAGTAATGTGTTATTGTATCTTGATTTGGATTCATGTACAAATACTGTAGGCTTTTAAATGTCTGTGATTCTAAACTTACTAAATAAAAGTTCCTTTTTTCTATTCAAGAAATGTGTAATGCTTATAAGTACTCATCATTCCTAAATATAATGACCACTCAAAATTTATATGTCTTTGATCTAGGTTTTATTTGCAGTTTATCAGTATTGATTTAATGACATCAATCACATTTAGAGGTTTTTATCTAACACATCTTTATCAACTGTTATCTACTTTTATCTACATCTGCCCGCTTTTGATAAAAGCAAATCAAAATCTCAGTAGATAAAGCTTTATCTAAGGGATAGAATTGTATCTATTTTAAT